AAATACAGCCTAACAATTTACCGTCGTTACAACAAATCCATTCCTTATTTTGTCACCAGGCATGCCTACAATTCGCTTACATATATTTTGTTCCGGATTGTTGGGACATTTGGAAATGACAATATCCCCTTTTTCAAATCTTTGCAACTTAACTGATATTCGTTCCAGAATTAATACGTCATTAGTATATAATGTAGGTTCCATGGATGGACCGCTGCACTAGAATTATACCAGTAATTATCATCATGTAAAAGCATTAATTCAAAAATATTTTGTAAATTGAATCATTACACAAGATACATAACACATGACACCAAATTTGGTATAAATAAAGTGATCAAAATAAATATTTATCTTGTTAAAATTTTTCTTTACAAATTGTTTTAAAATTTTTTCAAAATGAGAAAAAATCATATCATGCGCTCTTCGTTTTTTTCTTTTTTTTTTACGAAAGACAAGTCGTCAAATTCAAAGGCGAAAATAAAAAAAATACTAAATGTTAAATCTCATACATAACAATCAATTATGCACTCACCACAACGATATCGCCCACATGTTCGTACACGCAGTACGTCACGCACGCACATTGTACGAATCCGCGGATAACCTTAAACACGAATTTGTTCAGCTTTAACATCATAACGAAGTGTCGGCCATTGACGAAGAAAATCCGTGCAAAATTCCACTCCCCATTAAATTGTTACGTATAAGCGATAAAAATATGTACAGCTCGTCCGAGTCTCTTGTTTGGCACCTAACTCAACCATACTAAGATGAATCCCGCGAGAAAAGAAATATGTCGATTTATGATCATATGATCGATATCCTAAAAAGTTGAAATATTCAGAATTACTTTATTTTTACAATTGCAGTTTTTAATTTAAGCATACAATTGATTTTAATATGTTCCGTATATCTGCATACATTTGACACACAGAGACACAGGGTGCTTTTCATTTAGCGATACAAGTTGACACAAGCATTGTTCTTGTTATTCATCGAATGCCAAGATCGATATCAAATCGTGTCACTAATATTCATTTTCACCAATGTAGGTTAACATTACTATCAATTTAATTCATTCTTTTTCTAATTCTTAGAATTAAAATAAGACAAAAAGTAAATTAAACCGTGATTAAAGTTAATCTATATTGATGGAAATGAACATAAATAAAAAACACCTACATTCTTGTAAGCAAGAAGGATTATACACAATTTGTCAGAATTTGCCACATATTTGTTTTTCTTTTCTCTCCTCCCTCTTCGCCTCATTCCTCCCTACGACTGCTGAAATAAGTGTAGAATAAATGAAAAGCACCCTTTCCGAGATTTGTCCGCATGTAATGTGGTGGGGTTTGACGTGCATCGTGCATGTCATAATGGATGGACACGCTGAGAAAAGAAAAAAAAGAGATTGTTATCTTTGCGATAAGATTTAGGAAAAGGAAAAAAATAATTTTAGAAAGCATACGTGTGTCTCCGTTAAACGTTCTCACTCGACCGCTCCGAGGAAATCAGATGGTTCTGACCCCGAGATTTCTGGAATTCTCTCGTAAAAAACTCCGCGATGGGCGGGTTCTCATTGCGAGACTCGTGCAAATTGGAGCTTGGGGAGGCTGGCCTCGTCGCGAAGTAGCGCGTCGCGGGGAGTCGCGATATCTCGCGAGAATCACCCCTTAATCGAGGCCATAATCGGGTGCCGTCGGCGAATCTCGGGTTCGCGCTCGGCTCGTCGTGCTTCGCGGCCGTGTGCGCGTATGAATCTCGTTTAGTTTGGTGTCTTTGGCAGGTTACGACCGACCGACCGACCGACCAACCGATCGTCGATCGACCGACCGATCCGCCGATCGACCTGCAAACCGGATATCACGGAGCGCGATATCGCGACAGGTGTCGAGAAACCCGTAGAGTAGTGGCACGAGGGAGGAGGCCGGACAACGCGCGCGCGCGCGCGCGAGAGCGACACAGGGAGTGACACGCGACGTGGTGCGTGGTGTGTCTGTCCATCCGCCCGCCCGCTCGTCCGCCCGCCCAATCAATCCATCCATCCGTCCGTCTGCCCGCTCGCTCGCTCGTTCGTCCGTTCGTTCATTCGGTCATTCGTTTGCTCGTTTCGCCCACCCGACCTATTCTATACGCACGACGCACGCAGAGCGTCGGAGACGCGCGACCATACATACATACGCACCTCCCAACATACAACTCACACATACGCACACGCACACATACACATACACATATATCAGCATAGACCCATCACGCATACGCATACACATACGCATACACATACGTGCACACCCGCACGTACGAACGGAGGAGACCGACGGATCTCCCGTCCTACGGCGCCAATTTAATGGATCCGACCATCGGTTGGTACCAACCGGAGCAGTACGGCCCCGCCAAGGACCTTTGGTTAAACATCTGGGAGGCTGAGAAGGGTCTCGACGTTCTGACTCTGCGTAACGACGCGAACACGAGCAACGCGATGGGCGTGCGGCTGCAGCAGGACTTTCTCGCGCTGGACACGAGCCCGGCGGCAGCGGCAGCAGCGGCGACGGCGGCGGCGGCAACGGCAACCGCGGCTGGCACCACGCCGTTGTCCAACACCACCGCCACCACCGTCGGCAGCAACGCCGGCACCGGTGGTTTCATCGTTGGTGGTAATAACGGCAACGGGAACGGCAGCGGCGGCAACAATAGCAACGGTAGCAACGGCCGTGCCGCATCCACCGTCCACGGCAATGCCGCCGGTAACAGCAACGGCGAACACCGCGTGCCCCACAACGCCTGCAACTATTATTACAACCCGTCGCGCAGGAAAGGCGAGAATCGTGCGAGCACCTACGGCATGAATTATAATTACGACGCCCTCGTAGGCGAATACGGTGGTTGTCCTTGGCGTGTGCCGAACAAACACTACTCCAAGGGGGTAGTCGGGTAAGTGTTCGAGATATCCGATTTGCGATCAGGGCGACGATGGCCACGCGGCCCATATGGCTGTTGATTAGGTTATGTTAGATAGCTACAAAGTATTTTTCGATACGACGCAATACCGACGCGACTGAAAAAGATTAATTGAGGAGAAATTATGTAGTTGAAAATAATGGCTGAAATGTGCGATTTTTAGGGATTTGAATGTAACCTTTTTATTGTCTTTGTGAAAGAAAAATTTCCTGTACAATACGCGGATGAGGTTTCTTTGTACAGAGAAGGAAACTCTTCTTCTCTTTCTATACAGGTTTACAAATAAAGCTTGCGAACGTTTGTAAAAGGTTTGAAATTATTACCGTTATTGTTGGCTCATAAGAAATTGTAAACATCTTATATTTGGAAGTCAAGAAAGACAAGATGTGCCAAGTATCTTGTGCAGAGATACCTCAAATGACATCCAATAGAGTATTCTAGTATGTCGAGATCCTATCCCATTTTTGAAGATTTGCATTTGTAGGAAGCATTTTTATAGTTGCATATTAAATTTAAGTACATTTCTTGGTAGATTTTAGTATATCATTTGGATTTTAGTATTCCATGGTTTTATTCCACATATTTCTATTTGATTTGTAAGGGAAGCATTTAGGTTTTTTAATTGATGTAAATGTATAATATATTTAATTCTAATTGCCTTAAAAATATTAGATTATATAAGTTGGTAGATCAATTTGATATATTTTATTTTAAATTTTAAATCTTATATCTGTATACTAATTATTACAATGTTAAGAAAGTGAATCGAGAAATTTGAAACAAGAAGCTTTTTAGAGACTATTTTAAAAAATTGATTCTGCATAATAGTCCTGTATATTCAATAGTCTTATATTTATTTTATTATGTTTAGATTACATGAAGAAATAGAAGATTTTTTTGCATACATGTGTCCCTCACATGAAGAGCATGTTTTACGATTGAGAGTTGTAAAGAGAATAGAGAATGTAATTTATGATCTCTGGCCAGACTCTAAAGTCGAAGTGTTTGGCAGTTTTCGCACTGGTTTATATTTGCCTACAAGGTATGCATCTTTATGCAATTATTTGTAAAATATATAATGTACAACCTATAAATATTTATTGATCACATAGATTTATATTAGATAAAATACAAATGAATATTTTTTATTATTGCAGTGATATAGATTTGGTAGTAATAGGGATGTGGACAAATCTTCCATTGCGTACTTTGGAACGTGCTTTACTAGATCAAAATATTGCTGAGCCATCTTCTATTAAAGTGTTGGACAAGGCTAGTGTGCCGATCGTCAAATTAACCGATAAAGAAAGTGAAATTAAGGTGGACATCAGTTTCAATATGAATAATGGCGTCAAGTCCGCTGAGTTGATAAACTCCTTCAAGAGGCAATATCCAGTTCTAGAGAAATTAGTCATGGTATTAAAACAGTTTCTACTACAGAGAGATCTTAATGAAGTGTTCACTGGCGGTATATCCTCATACAGTTTAATTCTCATGACCATCAGTTTTTTACAAGTGAGTATAGTTGTAGCACGAAATTATATTCCTCATTGGAGCTTTTTTGAAATCAAAATTTAATTGTCGCTATTGAAATAAATAATTTTTATCATTTTAGTTACATGCAAGGCAGAACGTTCATTGTCCAAACGCTAATCTGGGAGTGTTGTTGATCGAATTTCTAGAGCTTTATGGTAGAAAGTTTAATTATGTTAAGACTGGCATTCGTGTGAAGGATGGTGGTACTTACATATCTAAAGAAGAGGTCTAATTACATTTTATATTTACATATTATAGTATAGAGTTTTATAGATTAATACTTTGATATTAATTATACATATTAATTAACAGGTTCAACGAGATATGATAGATGGTCATCGACCATCTCTGTTATGCATAGAAGATCCACTCACACCAGGAAATGATATCGGCCGCAGTAGTTACGGTGCTTTGTATGTAAAGGATGCATTTGATTGGGCCTATTTTATTCTTTCTCAAGCGGTCAGCCCCTTAAATATCTTAGTCAATGACGCCAGCAAAGTAAGGTAAAATCTCTAATACCTTTCTTTAAATTTATTTCCCTTATTCTCCATTTTATTTTAGCGTTACAATTTGATGGTATTCGAAATGATAACGAATGATATTTTTGTTATATATACAGCATATTGGGAAGAATAATTCGCGTGACCGACGAAGTAATAGAATATCGTAGGTGGATCAAAGAAACATTCCTCTTACCTGTAAGCGAAGGAGACTCTTTGTCAAGCTCAACTGGTTCTGATGCATCCACTCTTTCAGCTCCCGCCAGTGATACCGTATGTACATAGATGTTCTCAGAAAGGATATTTTTGTATTATTATCTGCGTATGTGTAATTATTATATAAGATCAGCTTTAATTCGAAAATTATTTACATTCTGTTTAAGGATTCCGAGTGCAGTCGTGGCAATTCTCCAAACACTGGTGGAAAGAGCGAAAGTGACAAAAACAAAGATAGGCACTTTTATAATAGTCATCAAATTCATCATTATTCTGGAAAAAAAGCATTCAAAGCAGCCACTCATGGTACGACAATCAACCGATTCTGTTTGCTTCCTGTGTGTATTATGAAGTTGCTGCAACAGATTTCGATGAAACTTTTATAAGAATGTATATAACATTCGGCGATGCTTTGCTTTGACGCGTGTTATTTTGTCGATGTTTCTCTGTTGCAGCCAATCACCAACAGAGTTTCAAAGGCAGTTATCATCGCATCAACAACAATATAGTTGGTCAAAACAAGACCAAGCACGCACTCCACAATAATGGAAACAACAATAATAATAATAATAATAATACTAGTCACAGTCCAAGCTCTAGGCCAAACTCAATGAAGAGGAAGAAGCAATGTACGATGCAACGCGGGACTGGAGATTGTGTACGGTGATGAAACGTGCACGATAATTTTGGACATTACTTCCGTCACTTAAGTAGCGAGCTCAATATCATAACTGTGTGATAGAAAGACAGCGATTAATGTCACATAACTGAATCATCCTACACAACTCCTTCGCTTTCAGTTTCAATTTAATGTACAGAAGGGCACAACGCGTTTACGGTTCTCAGAGAACTAACAATTTAGAAATTTTATGATTCTTGTGCAAAACAAGAATGCCCAAAAACAGTTATATATTATATACTCATGTATACATATTTCTTTTTTTTTCTTATTTTTGCCAGAATCACATTTGCTCTGTACGCAAAAGTTTATATATTATAGACGTACAGAATTTCTAATCGCGAATCAAGATAAGATCCATTTATATGTCATTTTCATTGCACAGGCTATAAACGATATATCCAGTGTGATATTTTATTATCATTTATAAAAAAAATCAGAAAGTTTATCATTGCCATCGTCAAATAGTAATTGTGTTCACAGCCATGATAAGTAACATATTGTAATACATTTGTAGTATGAATAGTATACACAAACAATAAGTTATACATTTCTCTCAACATACGAAACTACAAAACATGCTGATAGTGACAACAAATATATACTTAGTTTTCTATACGAAACTATATTCTTATAACAAAAGGGTGACAGCAAATTTGGTGATATTGGGACTTATCTAATGTACATATTGTAATATACATCATCAAACATAGAACAGTAAGTCTAAGAGTTACCTACTACATCTTTTTTTAACTTATAAATATCTAAAATAAAGTGTTTATTATAGTGATTTTACCATAAAAATTCGTGGATGAAGTCATATCTATTTCAAAGTATATTACTGTTTTTCTATTTTTTTTTTCTCTTAAACACAAATATATCGTTGCTAGATGATTTTGGTATGTTTCTCAGATTTTAAAATTGCAAATTTATGTACTAATAGTACGATGGTAAAAAAAAATAATAAAATTTTGAATATTTTTAAAAAATAGCTTATATTATCGAGACAGAGTGATGACAACGCTTCGAATCTTCGCAGTCTATTTCGTAGCAACAATTTTTCTTTTGCAAGTTAGCTTTATATCTTCTTTTGTACAGAGACGCCAGTTTCTTAATGTTAGTTCGTAATTCTTAATATTCCCTGAACAATGATGTATTATTTTTATATCAGATAATTAAAACGTTTGTATTATACAAAGGGAAAAAGAACGAAGAATCTGATATTTATGAATCTTACATTGCATTTGATGAAACTTATGTATATGACAATACGCAAAAAGGCCTTGACATTACTTAAAACTCCGTATATTATGTTCATCGATCATGGTAGACATAGTTCACTATCAAATGTTACATTCCGTTGATGCAATAAGACAATAGAATGTTTATCGTAACAAATCTTTTCAACAATATCAGATCAAAATTCTTTCTGGTACTGTTGCATTTTTTGTGTTTAATGATTTTTTAATGTGCGATGCAAAGATTATCCTTGTAAAATCTTTAATTTAGTCACGTGAATTGAGGATGTTTAGCTCTGATATCTTTTTAAATTATATATAATACTCAGTATTCCGTGTATATTATTTAACTTAAAACTCTTTCATATGTAATATTGTATGCTGTGATTGAATTTAATAATTAAATTGTCAATTGCTTAAAGATATATATAAATATATATAAATATATAATTTAAATGTTACTCTGTAAAGCATTATATAAAAAGCCATACTACATTTTTAAAACTATGTAAACTATTATTATCGCTTAGTGATCCTCAAACAAATTACGTGTTTTTTATAAATATCAGAATTTCGTAATCATTGAAGATTTGATAACGAAACTTCGTAATCACTCATATTTATCGAATTTCCCGAATGACTATCGGACCGTCTAGTAAAAAAAAAACCAAACAAAAAGAATAGAAAAAAAGTTTAAATAAATATGAATGATGCCGATATCTGATCTTATTCTTATTTCTTGTTTATTATATTTTTAAGGTAAAGTGATTTACCTCGTATATATATATATATATAGTCATTGTTCATAAGATCAGCTAAAACGTTTGTAAAACTTCTCGACAGCAATATAATATTCTGTATTTTCCAAAATTTTTATAGCCATGTATATTTATATTTGTGTGAATATATTTTTAAATAAGTAATAATATGACGCGAGACAACGCGATCAGTAATGTTATCTTTGTAAAATCATACTGTCATTTCACAAGTGTTGCATTGAGAGATTGTAAAAATATTTAACTAGTATATACACGTTACTGAAAGTTCGTAATGATGTAATTGCGAATTTTCGACAGCATGGACAACACCACAATTTTTAGTATTTTAGTGGTTTATAATTTTTTTTTTTTTTTTTCTTAAGAAAAAGTTTGTGCGAAGAGAAAGGAAAGTGAGATAGTAAAATGCGACCGAATCGTATGATTTAGAAATCGTCGTGCCGGCAGCGATTTGTACTTATAATTATCTACTCGTAAGTTTGTATACATATGTTCAATCTGAGATAAAACATGAAAAATGTATAGAGAAACGAAATAAATCTTACTTACCTTTTTCTTCAATCAAGTCTTACATTTTACACAGCAATGTATAATTTATATAATGTAATTTAATGTACTAATTTATGTCTCACGTTTAATATATTATTTTAAAAGCTATAAATTAATATACTTTAATATATTGATAGCGCTCTAATGTAACCACATGGCATTTATTAAAATTTCGCCACTTGTACATATATATAAGCGCTTAAAGGAAAAGATATTGTACATGATGACTAAGTAATTAGTAGAGTAAATTTAATTTACTTTCGTGCACAAAGTCCATCGATCGGATTCATGTCAAGTTTCTTCATGCGGTCTAATTGTGCCAATCGTCTTTCTAGTGAGAATGTTTCAGGCAAAGGTGGATAAGCTGAAAAAAAAAGGGACAATTGCATTAAATCAGCATTTTGTTGGCACAAGTCGAGTCGCAATAGGAAGCAGAAACGTACCGAATACTTTGAAGTACAGATATAGCCATAAGCCAGAACTGATAACCAGCAAACTCATCCCAATGATGCCTTTCCACTCTCCTGTTGGAGCTTCCATTTCACTGAATGTCTGGCGAAAACTGGCGCGATATAAAGCTTTTTTTCTTCAATTGACAGCTTCTTCCAATCTCCTTTCTCCTTCTCTCTCAGTGCCTGACAATAATTTGACAGTTATAATCAGATAATGATTTATAAAAGATTTTAACTTTTTTGTTTTTATCCTTACCATAATATCGGAGGTATTTTCCTTCCAGCGTAATGCAGGACAGGGAAAGTCCACTCTGTCCAAGTAGGAGGGTTCACCATTGTGTCCAAAGCCAACCACATCCCTGTTACCAATTCTGTCCATCGTCATTATTCTGCATCTCTGGATTTGAATGATAGGCCGCAATCTACTTGCAAACAATCTACCTGCCATTGTTCACTG